CCCAACTTAGCCGTATCGTCGAATACCTGGGGGCCACAGGAGCGCAGGTGAAGAAGACGAGCATTTTCGCCGATGGCACAAGTCCCCACGGAGATACCCACGACGAGGAGCATTTCTGAGGTGGATGTCCCAAGGGAAGGGTAGGTCTCGACCCTCGCGCAAGCTTTCGCACCTCGTGCATTGGAAGCCATAGACATCGGGAGAACGCATAGCGTCAAGTGAAAAGGGGGACACGGAGGAATACCGCCTGGACGACTAGGACCCTGTCAGTTGCGTCCTCCCCCTCCTCCCCATCCTCCTCCTTCTCCTCCTCCTTCTCCTCACCACCACCACCACCACAACCACCAACACCACCACCACCGCCAACGTCGTCGTCGCCGCCGTCCCACTCACTCACTCACAAATTCACTCACTCATACTCATCCTGAACACTTCCACATATTATTCCCGCTCACCCCTCCATGTCCTCCCCTCATCATCATGATGCTCCTCACATGCCGTGTCGTGATCCCTCCTCATCAGCATCATTCGTCATCGCAAGCGTCATCGTCATCGACATCGTCATCATCGTCATAAGCATCATCCTTATCCTCCTCATCATCATCATTACCAGCATCAGGAAACATCATATATCGTCACCATTGTCCCACATTACCCCCCTTACCCTACCCACGCACCAATCCCCGCTCGCGCGGAAGCATGCGCGAGCGGGGGAGAAGGGGGGAGAGGGGATGGAGAAAGAAGAGGATGAGGAGAAGGACGACGCCGACGACGACGGCGAGGACTAGGAGGGAGGGAGTACGAGCACAAGGACGAGGAGGAGGACGAGGAAGAGGAGGGAGGCGAGAAGGGGGAGAAGGAGAGAACGAGTAGAGAAGATGAGGAGAACGAGGGCGAGGAGGACGAGGAGGGCGCAGAAGGAGAGGGGGGGGGAGGGGAGGGGAGGAGCAGAACAAAGAGGGAGGAGGACAGGAGACGCCCGCAGGACAACAACAAGAGCAACAACAACAACAACAACAACAACAACAACAACAACAACAGCCACTGCAAGCCGAGGTCACGGAACAGACAGCACTTATTAATATCTACGAGAGAGACAGATAAGCCGCACGCGCTCAAGGCGCCACAAAAAGGAAAGGAACAGGGAAAAAACGCGGGGACAGGGCCTCTCCTCCTCCTCCTCCTCCTCCTCCTCCTCCTCCTCCTCCTCCTCCTCCTCCTCCTCCTCCTCCTCCTCCTCCTCCGGGGAGTGGCCCGCGCCTTCCGCTTGCGGCACCGGAGGAGCGCCTGCTCGACCACGCAGAGCGACCACTGGCGCATCTGGCCGCACGCCAGGCGAGGGGGAAGGGGGCCAGGCCTCCTCCGGAGGCCTCCAGGGCGTGCTTGGAGAGGAGAGGAGGGAGGAGGACGAGGAAGGATCGAGGAGGAGGAGGAGGAGCAGGAGAATCAAGAGAGGAGGGAGAACAAAGAGAGGAGATTCGAGCAGGAGGAGGAGGAGGACCCAGGAGGAGGATGCAGAAGGAGGATCGACGTTGCAGCTGACGCTGACCGAGCTGGCCGAAGTGGTGGGGAAGCAGAAGAGATGGAGCTGGACTTGAAGACTTGGACCCAGGAAGGGAACACGCACCTGCTCCAGTCGGCGGATTTGGAGCAAACTGGTTCGAGAGCAAGGGTCAAAGCGAGTGTAGAGCATGACGCCCACGGATGGCCTGGCAGGGTGAGGGAAACGTCCACCCCAGACCAGATGCCAAATCCCACCCGTCAAGCAGTAGAAAAAGAAAGGCGGGAGAATGACGAAGAAGGAGGACCGAGGAGGAGGACGGATCGAGGATCGCCGATAGATCGGAGATAGGCGCCTCGATGGCGACACCGCGCTTTCCTGGGCGTGGGGGGGCACCGGGGAACGGTCGGCGATGAATGGGCGACTGGGGGTCGACTTCCGCTCCCCTCGGCGCCCCCGACTCTGGAGGACACCAGAGCCCCCAAAAACTCCGAGAGCGTCCAGAAACGCCGCGAACCTTGACACTCGACGACGACGACGCCGCCGACGCCGCCGCCGACGCCGCCGACGCCGCCGCCGCCGCCGCCGCCGCCGACGCCGACGCTGACGCCGACGCCGACGACGACGACGACGACGCCGACGCCGACGCCGACGCCGACGCCGACGCCGAGGCCGACGCCGACGCCGACGCCGACGCCGACGCCGACGCCGCCGCCGCCGACGACGACAACGACGACCGACGTGATCCTCACCTCGCGGGGCCTGCAGAGGTCCCCGCTCGAGGGGCCTCTGAGGCCTCCAAAGCTCCCCAGGAGCCTCGGAGGGCCCGAGGAGAGCCAGAAGCGTCCGACGACGACGACAGCCACTGCGGCGGCGGCGGCGGCCGGGGCGGCGCGGGCGGCACCAGGCGCCTCCTCGCCGTGGCCGCCGCCTCCAGCCGCGGGTCCGCCGGCGCGCGGCGCGCCGCCTGCTGGCGCGGCGGGCGGCGCGGCGGGCGGCCTGGCTGGGGGGAAGCTCGATTGTCTTGACTTTGCACTGGTCCTCATCCTCCTCCTCCTCCTCCTCCACCTTCTCCTCCTCCTCCTCCTCCTCCTCCTCCTCCTCCTCCTCCTCCTCTTTTCCTCGTCCTCGCCCTCGCTCCCTCCGCGTCCTCCTCCTCCTCCTCCCCTCCTCCTGCCTCCTCCTCCTCCTACCTCTTCCTCGTCCTCCTCCTCCTCTCCTCCTCCTCCTCCTCCTCCTCCTCCTCCTCCACGCCACCACCGCCTCGTACACCACGAAGTTGCCCTTCCCCAAGAAAGTGCCGACCACCTGGTCGTTCGCGAGCCGCCGAGACGCGGCTACCTGATCCTTCTTCTTGTAGATCTCGCTGCTGGCCCGCAAGACGTCGTCCCACGAGAAGCCAGACCCGCCCAGCGACGGGAACCCCATCGCTCCAGCAGCTGGGCGACAGCAGCGTGCTGCAACCCATCGCGGGGGAGGCAGAGCAGCAGGTCATCAAGGTGCAGCGCGCCAAGATGGTCATGGACACCCTCCTGGAGCTGATCGGCCTCGGAGAAGTGGGCCACTTCGGGGGGGACGAGGAGGTGCTCGAGGAGCTCTGCGCGGAGCACGCCCAGTGGTCGGAGGTCGGCCAGGCCCTCGGCGTGGAGCTTGAGGACTACCCCAGCTTCGGCCTGGAGCTCGAGGAGTCCTCCCAGGTTCAGGGTACCGAAGGCTCGTCGCCGTCCATACCCTTCGGCCAGTAGTGCGCGCAGGCTGCGCCCTGGGGGGAGTGCCTGGCCCTGAGGGTTGTGGGCTTCCGTGGGCTGGGCCCTGGCCCTTGGCGGGCTGCGGTTTTGGTGGCCTTCGGGCCTTGGCCCTTTTGGGCCGCGTCGCCCTGTCGGACCCTTGGGGGGACTGGTACCCGCCCTGGAGCTTGGACGGCGAGCGAGGCGGACAAACGGTTGCAAGTTCGTCTCATCGTCTCCTCCTCCTCCTCCTCCTCCTCCTCCTCCTCCTCCACTTCCTCCTCCTCCTCCTCTTCTTATTATGCTCGTATCAGCATTCGTAAGTATTATTTATATGAGTCTTATTCGGCGGATTATGTCTCTTATTGCTATTGTTATTCTTAGTATTCGTCATATTATTATGATCTGTATCATTCATATTAGTATTAGCATTCCTATTATTTGTATTAGTTTAGTGTTGTTCGTCTTCTGCTTACTCTTATTATTCGTCTCCGACTGCTTCGTCTTCTGTGTCTTCTTCTTCTTCCTCCTCCTCCTCATTCCTCCTCCTCCTCCTCATTCCTCCTCCTTCTCATTCCTCCTCCTTCTCATTCCTCCTCCTCATCATCATTCCACCTCCTCCTCATTCCTCCTCCTCCTCATTCCTCCTCATCCACATTCCTCCTCATCCATATTCCTCCTCCTCCTCCTCATTCCTCCTCCTCATTCCTCCTCCTCCGCATTCCCTCCTCCTCATTTCTCCTCCGCATTCCTCCTCTCCTCTCCTCCCCCTCCTCCTCCTCCTCCTCCTCCTCCTCCTCCCCTCCTCCCCTTCCTCCTCCTTCTCGCTCTTTCCTCCTCCTCCTCCTCCTCCTCTTCTTCCTCCTCCTCCTCCTCCTCCTCCCCCCCGTTCCTCCTCCTCTTCTTCCTCCTCCTCCTCCTCCTCCTCCTCCTCTTCTTCCTCCTCCTCCTCCTCCTCGACCCCACTCACCAAAGGAAGGGGGGAGCTCGAGAGGGGCGGAGGCGGAGCGGGGCGGGCCTTCTGTAGGACGGCAACAACTATACACCAAAAGCGATCCTGGCCAGGATCACCCTGGACCCAGGATCGGTGTACACGACCCCCCTGCCTGGGGCAGGACGAAAATACACCGATTCTGGGCCCAAGGTGATCCTGGCCAGGGTCGGTGTCAGTGTGTAGTTCGTGCCCTCTGATTCTGGGAGCACCGGCGTGGGGGCGCCAGCCAGCCGCGGCACGACGGTGCCACCCTTCGACACCGATTGCCCAGCGAGGCGTCCCCCGGCGCGTCGCCGCTCAGACACGCGAAAAGCACACGAGCGCAGCGGAGCGGAACGGACTGGCGTGGAGTGGCGTGGCATGGAGTGGAGCGGAGTTGCGCGGACCGGGGTGGATTGGCGTGGATTGGCATGGAAGTGGGCGGCGCGGAGCAGAGTGGAGCGGAGTGGGGCGGAGCTGAGCGGGGCTGAGCGCGGCGGACTGGAACGGAGCGGAGTGAAGAAGAGCGGAGTCAAAGTGGAGTAGAGCGCAGACGGCAGCGCGCGGAGTGGCGTGGAGTGGAGTGACGGGGCAGACTGGTGCGGAGTGGAGTGGAGTGGAGTGGTGGATTGGAATCGTCGAAGAGCCTCGGGGCATTCGAGGCCCTCGCGGGCCGAGGCTAGAGGGTCCAAAGCGCGACGTCTCGACGCTTCTGGTTGTTGTTGTTCGTTTGTTGGCCCTCCAGGGGCTCCCCGACGGTTGTGGAGCCTTCGGGGGCCTCTGGAGACATATGGAGCTGAGACCCTCCGAGGCACATCGAGGGGTCCTCAAGGGGTCCTTCAAAAATATAATCCGCCGACCATGTCGGCGTGTGGGGTCTGTCCGGTCCCGTCGACGGGAATCCTTCTTTCGTCCCCTCCTTCCCATCCTCCTCTCCCGTCGGGGGGGGAAAGAGAGAGAGAGAGAGAGAGAGATAGAGCACCCTTCCTCGTTCAAGGAACGGGTTCGCAGCTTGAGGGAACTCCATCCACGTCATCACTACGTCAAAGGAAGCCGCTTCCATTTGCCCCTTCCTCAGCGGAGGGTGGGGGGGTCCCGAGGAGGGGTCAAATTCGCATCGCCTCTGGGGGCCCTCCTCTCCCCCGCCTGTCCTTCTCCGGCGCGCCGGTCCTCCTCGGGTCCTCCTTCCCCAGGGGGAGGAGTCCCATGGGGCGGGAGGGAAGTCAGATACGCATCCGTCCCTGGGGATCCTCCTCCACCTCCCCTCCACTCTCCCTCCTCCACCATCGTCAACAGCAGCAGCATCATCATCATCAACAACAGCAGCAGCATCAGCGTCAGCATCATAATCAGCATCAGCATAAGCATCATCAGCATGATTATCATCACCATCATCGCCATGAGCATCACCATCATCATCATCAACATCATCATCATCATCATCATCATCATCATCATCATCATCATCATCATCATCAGCAGCAGCAGCAGCAGCAGCGTAATCATCATCAGTATCATCGGCAGCATCAGCATCATCAACATCAGCATCATGATCATCAGTATCATCATCAGCATCACCATCAGCATCATCATCAGCTTTATCCTCATAATTAGTATCATCAGCAGCATCGCAATCATCAGCAGCGGTAACATTACCATCCACAGCATCATCATCATCAGCATAATCAGCATCATCACCATCATCATCACCAACATCCATCACGTCATCATCAGTAGCATCATCATCATCATCATCATCATCATCATCATCATCATCATCATCATCATCATCATCGTCATCATCATCATGAACAACAACATCATCATCATCCGCATCACAGTCACCATATTCATCCGTCCTTCGTCCACCGTCCTCCTCCATCCTTCAACCTCCTTCTCAATCCTTCCCTTCCCCAATTTCCTCCTCCTTCCTCCTTCATCCTTCCTCCCTCAACATCCTCCATTCTGGACAGCCCCACGTAAACGCTGCCCGACTGGTCCAAATCCCGGGGGGGGGGCTCAGGACACTGCCTGGGGCAGAGGAGCTGCAAGTGGCTCCTAAGAACCCTGCCCCCTTGATCCCCTCCGAACTCCTCCGGTCGCACCCCCAGACATGCCGGTAGGGCGGACTGGGCGTTTGGCAAAACATCCTCACCCGTTTATGACCCTGATGCTTGAAATTAGAAGCGGTTATACGGCTTGAGGGTTGGGGGGTCGTTTCCAAGGCGCTCATTCTTCCTAAAGCTCATGCGTCGTAAAACTCACAACAATCATAAAGGATGGAACACGGGTTGTTTTCCAACTTGAGCTCTCGCCGTAGCAGCGCGCATATTCGCTAAAACAGCGTAACAAACACACAGATGCGGCAAATGTCGTTTTCAGATCGTCTTAAGCGGTTGCAGCGCTTATATGAATAAGGGCGAATCCTTCTCAAAATGGGACTCTCCCCTTGACTCCACGCACATTCAGCTGAAAGTTTGCAGCAGAAAGACGGCCCGAGCACAGTACTAAACAATAGGAGTATCGACTAAGACTTCCTTGCCTTTGAAGGCCAGAAGCTTCAACATGTCTAGCAGCTCCACGTCTAGCGGGCAGTTTCTTGTCGAGTTGTGGCTCTCGCCTGTGACTTCCTGCAAGTTGGTGACCAAAAAAAGGAAACTTGTGCTTGCACGTACGTAGGACGGTCCCGTTTCAATGCGGGGATCTCGCTGGACACCTTGTTTGAACTGTATGATCAAGTTCGCGTTCCTCGTTACGCACTGGAAGGATGCCAAAAAAAAAAAAAAAAATAAAAAAAAGGAAAAAAAAAAAAAAAAACAAAAAAAAAACAAAAAACACAGCAAGAAACAAAGAAAACCAAAAAAAAAAAAAAAAAAACAAAAACAAAAAAAAAAAGTACAAAAAACAAAAAAGTATAAGAAAAAAAAAAAGGAAAGAAAAAAGCAACTCCGTTCCTGAGCGTGGCTCTCGCCTTCACGGGAATGCCCACGGGGGGCTGGGCCGTTCTAGGGCTCCCGCCTTGCAGCGCAGAAAGAAAGCCTGCAGCGACAAGCGTGAAGGGGGGGGACTTTCAACGGGCGGAGGTGTGCTGCAGCTTCGATAATGCATCTTGGATGCATATGGTCCTTTTCTCCTCCTTGCAGCCCATGGGCCCGTTCGCACCCAGCCGACTCATCCCTTTCCTCCTCCTCCTCTCCTCCTCTCCTCCTCCTCCTCCTCCTCATCATCATCATCTCATCATCATCTCATCAATCATCATCATCACCATCATCATTCAATCAATCAATCAATCATCATCA